CGGCAGCGGCAGCGGCAGCGCGACTGCGGGGGGAGCTTTTATGCGGTGCACCCCCGGATGTCCTGCAGCCAAACTGCTGCTGCTGCTAATGCTAATGCTGCTGCTGCCAATGCTGCTGCTGCTGGCAGCAGCGGACGCGGCGCCCGGAAAGGAGGTACATGTGCTGCAGAGAGAGAGCCGGTCTGCAAGTCGATTTCCACAAACTTTAATTCAAATTAATTGAATAAATGGAACTCCAAACCTCTGGCGGGGACACACGCGCCGCGGGGTGGTGGACGGACGCACCCCGGACCGGCGGTCCCGCCCGCAGACGGCGCAGCTCGCAGCCAAGCTCCTGCTGCTGCTGCTGCAGCTCCTGCAGCTGCTGCAGCAGCAGCTGCTGCTGGTGGTAGTGAGTGGTGTGGGCGGGGGGTGAATCTGCACGGGAAAGCCGTGCAGCGCGGGCCGAGGCGCTGCTGAGAGCGGCTGCGGCTGCGGGCGGCACCGCCGCAGCAGCAGCAGCGAGCGCCGGCGGGACCGTGCAGAGAGAGCAGGAAGCAGCTGGAATTAAGTGCCACTCTTCGCGATCTCGGGGAATTTCGGCATTTCGGACTCGAAAGACTTTCAATTCCCCTATTTGTAGTCAAGAACGCGCCAGTTTCCCGACGCATTCCAGAAACCTGAACGCCCACGCTCAGGCCGCCGGCTGCCGGGAAACGGCGAGCTCAGGCCGCCATCGGGAGATTAAACGCCTTTTAATGCTTTTCAACAACGCAGAAAACCTTTAAACTCCAAATTTATTCACAAAAGTCCCACTCGGCGAACGAACTTGAATGGGGGCGGCCAGGCAGGCAGCGCTCAGGTGTACGCGCAGCTCGGGAGCGCAAAGGAAGACCGGCGCCGGGGGCCTCATCCATTTCTGTAAAACTTGTTTTGTCTTTATTTGCCCTCTCGACTCTTTTCTTTTCCTTTCCTTTCGATTTGAAACCAAAAACCTGAACTCCGGAACTTCGCTCTTGACGCTTCCTGCTGCACTCCCCCTCGCCTTCCTCGCCGCGCCGCCTCACGCGGCGCCCATACGTCTCATCTTACGGGGGCTGCTGCAGGCCTGCACACGCAGCTTCCCATCGAAGCAGCAGCAGCACCAGCAGCAGCAGCAAGCAGCAGCAGCAAGCAGCGGCGGAGCTGCGGCGACAGCTGCAGCACGAGGACTGCAACAAGGTCTCTTCTTCCCGCCGAGCAGCAGCAGCAGCTGAACCGACTCAGGCCTGCTAGTGACGCAACTGCTGGCGGCGCTGTGCAGCAGCAGCAACACGCCTTGCTGCTGCTGCTGCTGCCGCTGTAGCAGTAAGGCTCGGCTCTTTGCCGTTGCTGCTGCTGAACGGCGCTCGCGCTGCTGCCACAGCAGCAACACGGCTTTTCTGCTGCTGCCACAGCAGCAACGCGGCTTTTCTGCTCCTGCAGCGGTACGGCGGTGCTGCTGCAGCAGTACGGTCTGCAGCAGCAGCAGCAGCAGCAGACCGTACTTGTATATCCTCGCCGGGCGACACTGCGCTCTGCAGAGGGGAAGAGCCTAAACCCCCACGCGCGCCTGGGGTTTAGGGTTTAGGGTTTAAGGGTGCGAAGCCCTCGCAAAACTCATTTTGCTGGTCCTAATTGCTTCATCTGCTGCTGCAGCAGCTTGCTGCGCCCAAGAAGTCTTTAGAGTAATAGACTTTGACACCCAAAACCCAGCCAAATGGGCTGTACATACACTGCAACAGCAGCAGCAGCAGCGGTTGCTGCTAGTGCTGCTGCTGCTTCTAGCCTGCAGTATACGGGCTTCAGCAGCAGATTTGCAAGTAAAATGAAATGGTTGCTTTATTTGCAGATGCAAAAATAATAACTAAATTAAATTAAAATAATATTTAAATTAATTTGCAAATGAAAGCCTCGGAGTTTTATGAGATCTCACAAAAGGCCGTCTCTGCTGCAGTGAGGCGAATAGACACTTTTATGAGACAAATGGATAAATTAATTAATTAATTAATTGATAAAATAAAATAAGCAAATAAATAAATGGATTGCTTCAAAGTGTATTCTTTGGGACGTGTTTTGGCTGGTGCATAAATTGCAGAAGATGAATAATATATAATTCTTTGTTATAAATTATCTGTTCATTTATTTATTTATTTATTTATTTTATTTCTTTTTATTTCTTTTTTTCAATTTGCATTTTGATGTCTTTCGCCACTCACTGATTGCGGTGTCTCGACACCTGCGCGCACTCTGGAGCTGTGCAGACACCGGAAAGTTTCAAAAGTTCAAATAAAAATAAAATAAAATAAAATGAAAATAAAAACATAATTGATTCTTTGGGTCATTTCAAGTCTTTTTTAAAAGTCTTTTTGTCTTTTCCAGCTCTCTATTTGCTGCTGCTGCTGCAGTATTTGATGCTGCAGCAGAGCGCTTCTTTCCATGTATGTTCTTTTCATTTCAAGTTAAACAAATAAATGTCCACTTGCCAATTATAATTAATTCTTTATAATTGAAAATCAATTTGTTGCATTTTGAATTAGTCAAAAGACTAAAATTCGGATTTTTAATTATTCTATTTGGGGCTTGGCTGCCTCTCTTCGGCCCGCCTCGCAGCAGCTAGCTGTGGCTAGCTGCGGGGGGCTGCAGCAGGCTGCAGCTAGCTGCAGCTAGCCGTGTCTAGCTGCAGGTAGCTGCTGCAGCCTGCTGCAGCTGTTCGCAGCAGCAGCAGCAGCAGCTGCTGCTGCTCCCCCCTGCGAGGCAGCGGCACGGCGTGCTTCGGGGGCTGTGCAGCTGCGCCTGCAGCAGCAGCTTGCTGCTGCTGCGTTGGCTAGCTGCTGCTGCTGCTGTTGGCAGCCTTGCCCGTCGAGTGTACGTACACCTGGGCGCGCAGCTAGCAGGGGGGCTGGACGGACGCCCCGCGGGCTCCTTTTGCGGCGTTTGTTGGACTCAAGTCTTTCAAAATGGACTTAAAAAGAAATAATAAATCAATTTAAATGTTTAAATGCAAAGAAGAAGCAAAAATAAGCCGGAAGAGCCCTTGCTACTGCTGGGGCTCGCTGCAGCGCGAGGCGGCGTGTGTCTGTGGAGCTCGGGCGCGGGTTTTCGGGTGTATCTACAGCTTCCCGAACGCACTGCACCTTCTCGAATTAAATTAAATCATTAAGATAAATTAAAATTAAATTTAACTTAAAAAAAGAGCCGCACACAGCTGCGCAGCAGGCGGCACGCTCGGCTGCGCAGCACCGCTGAGGGGCCACAGCAGCAGCTGCTGCTCCACTTCGGGTCCTTCTTGCAGCTTTTTTGTCTTTGTTTGGATTATTTATATCAAATAATAAATCCTTAATCAAGTGGCGTTCGCCAAATTCGGTTTGCTGCAGCAGCAGCAGCAGCATTGCTTCCCCCGTTACTGCAGCAGCCACAGACCTGCAGCTGGAAGCAGCACTTCTTTCGTCTCTTGATTTGTTTATTTACTCTTAGTCAGTTTGTCAAAGCTCCTTCAGGTCCTAAACCCTAAACGCTAAACCCTAAATTAGCGTGCGCCCGCCGCGAGCACGCCTGCAGCAGCCGCTGCTGCTGAAGCTGCTGCTGCTGCTGGTGCCGCGTAATCTCCCCTCAGGCTGCTGCAGTTAGCTGCGGGTTCCTTTTGCTGCTGCTGCAACAACAAGAAGGAACCAGCAGCAGCAGCAGCAGCAGCAGCAAGCTGGGCACACGCGGTGATGCCTTCCCGTTGGCGGCATCGGCTGTGAACAGTCAGCTGCCGTAAACCCTAAACCCTAAAGCCTAAACCCTTGCTCATGGCTTGTGAGGCAACTTGCTGCTCTTCGTTGCCCCCACCTAAACGCTAAACCCTAAACCCTAAAATGGCGGATGTGGCTGACGCCCGCAGGGCGCCCTCGTGGCTCCCTCTCTCCTTCAGCATTCGAGGCGGAGGCTTGTTCACCAAGGTAAGACCCCCTAGGGTTTAGGGTTTAGGGTTTAGGGTTTAGGGTTTAGGTTGGCCGCAGCTGGGAGCCCGCGGGACTGCCAGAAAGCTCCAGCCCGCGTTTTTCCTGCTTTTAAGGATAAATGAATAAATAAATAAATAATTTAATTAGTTAAATTATTTATTTATTTATTTATTTGCTGCAGCTCGCCATGCAGCTGCCGGCGCAGAGCGACTGGCAAGCTGTGCGAAACGCCAAGGAACTGCTGCGGTAAACCCTAAACCCTAAACCCTAAACCCCAGCTGTGGTTTTTGAGCTGTGCAGTCCCCGCCCTCAAACCCTCGACAGGGGGCTAGCAGAAGTCCCAAACCCTAAACCCTAAACCCTTTTTTTTTGTTCAGCTCTGAAAACCGGGCATGGATGACCTACGGGCTGTACAGACAGCTGGGACTGGAGAACGGGGAAGGGAGGCGGCGAGCAGCAGCAGCAGCAGCAGCAGCAGCAGGTTCCCCAGTGTGTCTCTCGGCTTCCGGGTGCTGCTGCTGCAGCAGCAGCAGCACGCACAGCTGCTGCTCCAGCACCCACGGCGGCAGCTGCAGCGACAGCAGCAGCAGCAGCAACAGCAGCAGCGTGCGCTGCAGCGGACGGGGCCTTGGGGAGAAAGGCTCCGCAGCAGCAGCGCAGCTGCTGGGCAGCAGCAGCTGCCGCAGCCGCAGCAGCAGCAGCAGCAGCAGCAG